ATCCTTCAAGCGTAGAGTTTACAGTACTGTGGTAACGACATAAATTGCTTTATCAACCGAAGTTGCCAAAAATACCAGAGGACTCCGTATCCAATCATCCGTGCCTGTGGAGCATTTACCCGGTCCTTTGGACCATCGCAGCAGCACGTCAAATATTTTTGGAAGTGCTCGCTCACTTACGATACATGTCGCCGGTTTAGCCACGCACTTTGCGTGCTAGGGAACTGTCCAACTTGCCGGACCTTCTCTGCACATCTGTGTGCTGTATGGCAATCGTCAAAGGTGATCAGTCTGGTTGATAATGAAGTGCGAAGTCAGTGGCCGGTAAACTCAGTCGTGTTGACTACTTCTGTATTTCCATATGAAGATCTCAGAGTGGGTCACACTGGAGCCGGGTGAAACTGGTGTGAATGACCCTATCAAAAAGCCAATAGTACGCGATGTGTACTTCCTCCGACTCCTCCTCTGATAAAGCGAAACGGTTCGACTTCACTGAAGGCGTCTGACCGTTACCTGCAAGGCATGGCTGTTACTCCGTCAGCTCTTTATTCCTGACAAACGAAACCGGTAGCAGCTTGAACTAACTCAACTCAATATACGGTTTCTACCTGACAGGAACCTGAGACAGGACCTTTAGAGGCAAATCACATCAAGCTCCTGTGGGCTGTCAGTGTTACCCTCTCGGATGACATTATAGGGTATTAGTGCACAGGTGATGATAGCCATAATACAAATCAGAAGGTGTATGTGCACTAATAAAAGTTTTTGGTATTGTGGACAGTGGAGAGTTGCAACGCGTATAAAAATAAATACAATGCGAAATGGGAGCAAGTCAAAAGGAACTTGTCGTATGTGAGAGTTCCTTGGTGAAAGTCCGGACGGCGGTAACGTGTTTTCTCCGCAGTTTGGCTGCTACACGTGTTCCATGATTGTCCGTGGACTTGGAGTGCTTGGCTGACTTCTTGCGCGCGCGCGAGTCTGTGTGTGTTGACTGGGTTCGGTTTCCCTTTATGTAGGTCCCAGTGCGTATGCGTGGGCGCGTGGGCACATGAGTGGTTGCTACGCTGACTAGGCGGTGCAGATAATCGATGTCCGATGAGTCAGCTTAATGCGACGTGTTTGTGCGTATGAGAAAAAAGACAAGCCTCGCGATCCAGTGAGCGACTGTGAGTTGAACAGTTAAGTATGTGGGTGACTGGGTCGCTACAAGGGATATTCGGGGGAGTACGGAAACTGTCCCATTGCTGTGTTCTCATTCGATTGGATCCTATGTAGGTATGGCAAACAAGTTACGTGTTGTTAGTCGCTGACCGTCCAGTCAGTCTCCCAACGTTTAATGGGCTGTTCGTATCACCCCTTTCAACGCACGCCTTTGTCTTTACTGTGTCACGTAATTCCATCACCGGACAGCAGAAGTCATCATTCTCATTAACAGCGTAACATTAGTGTTCAACACTGATGCTTCACTGAACAACCGTGACTTATTTGAAATAATTATTGTGAAGAAAATGAAAGTAGATCGGGAAGGGACTTAGTCCTTTTCTATCAGAGTCATCCCAAGCACCTCCAAACGATCACTCAGGCAATCTAAATAGAGACTGACAACAAGAATGCTATCGACACCGATTAGCAGCCATATTTTTCAGCGTCTCCAAATAGGCCGAGCAAGTATCACGCGGCCCCATCCTGGTGGAAGGCCAGTGGCACCGACAGCACCAAAACGTTTCTTAATCTCCTGCATGCCCCTCTACCAAGTCAAGAGTTCAACACCTCTCTGCTTTCGTCACTCTGAAATCGACTTGGAAAGCATCACTCTCTTCGGTAAACTGTTTGACATGCGCAATACATGACCTAACCAATGCAGTTTCTGGTAGTAGACACATTCCTTGATTGAAGTCCCGTTGCATAACCGAACGTTTGCTTTGTAACTGCCTCGTTACAGACCGACTGACTCACAGGAGCTGTAGTTGTAAAACAAAGGTTGTCGAAGACCTGAGGACGAGTTAGTTCCGCTGCTCAAACAGGCCCAGTCTCAGCTATACACTAAAACAGCCGGTACTCTAGCCTGATGCACACGCCTCTTGAGATTCAGGGCTACTGCTTTGTCGCCATAGGTATCTCAAATGAGCAAACGCGACCCGAGGCTTGGAGATCCGTGCATTGACCTCATTTGTCACACTACACCCGGAACTAATAGAACTCCGAAGAGAAGTCAAACGCTCTACAACTTCGGATGTTTATCGCTGGATTGTAAGTGACTGCATATCCAGGAGGATGACCTTACACTTTTTGGATGCAAAGCGCACGCCAAAATGGTCATCCAAAAATACTTGCACCTTCTCTTCGAAGATGAGAGTGATGTCGTCTGCTAGTTCCAGATTGATGAAGCTTGCTAAAGATATTGAATACCATCGACCTCCGACACCTACTAGACCGTAAAACAAGAGTCTGGTTTATGAATAGGAATATAGCTCGCTCTACCAGAGCCAACCAACTAAGCAGTTACTCAGCAGGGAAATTCACCACAAGTGCAATTTCGCAGTTGTTTTTTATCATTCAGTGATCTCTAGAAACAAACCATTATTAGTTTTACAATAGCTTTGGTTGTTCTCCGACCTCATTCAAGTTTGGTAGTCAAGATTCCCAAAATCTGTTTCTCAAGACACTCAATGTAGACCGACGTTGATTAAATTTACATGTCGTGCGCCGAATCGGTATGAGGTATCTTCAAGATTAGCTTAGACTATGAGACTTTATTTCTTACTTTTAAAAGGTTGCATTTTGCATGATCGTCACTAGGTTATGCATTTTTTGTTGAGGCCCGCTATACATCCACTGTTCCTCTCTCAGATCCATCTTGGATATGGGAGACCCCTTCCAGCTGCTGTACGTAGATCCCTCCTCGTGAAACCTCGCATGTATTTTGAATTGGCTTATGTCCGTAGCTGTGTACATTATCGACCAGGTGTCTGCGCCATTCTCACTGTACTACCCCTCACCATTGAGCGGCTGTATCCATTCCCTTGGCTTAGCTGCGCGATATGCTTCATTTGCGCTGTGGTCAAATAGTAGGGCTTTGTAATCCATAGTTAATAAACAGGGAAATCGTTGAGCATGTCTAACCCTCAAAAATCAGTTGAGGAAGTGGTTTTATATCCGAGATATTCGTCATTTCGTTATTTACGACTCTCGACAACTTTTTTCACATCACGGTGCGAAGGTTGCAGAAGCCCCTGCTTCTTTGGTTATCCTGTCCAGAGGAGCTGCTTTGAAAATTATTCACCAAAGCTTTCAGCCAAACTTCACTGCGGTGTCTCTGTGGTGAACAGTATTTCGCTTTTCGTCCACTATAGCTTCTCGACTTCCCCTGTCAGGTTTGGGCGACCTGACAGTATCCCAGCCCTCGTGCTTCCTTCGGGTGGCATGACATTGAGGTACGGAAAGGGTGTTGGACTTTTTTTACCAAAGCGAGTCTTTTTCAAGTAATTGTCGGTTAGCTAATCGCGAATGTTCATCAGGCGATAGTCGCAATCAAGTGTGTTGCAGTTAAGACTGCGAATCACAGGTTGAGCCTGACCATCCTGGTTGTCCAATGCAGTTCAAGAGCAGCCAATCATTTTTTAATTTTTTATTTATTTTTCAATCATTGGGTCGATAGAATAGATTTACTGGTATCCCATATTTTCGGCAGGCATGATCTTCTGTGAATACGTGACCATAGCTGACCGTAGTTGATTAAGTGAGATCTTGAATGTGCTGAATTAAACGGAAGCGACGAAAATAGGAAAGTGGTTCCAACAGCGTTCCGGATACCGTACACGGTTGAGGTATACTTATCTTCTGATAGGGTGATCCGTGCGACCGAAAATGAGTGAAATAAATGCAGCGTTACCCATCGAGCAACAGATATCTCGCTGTCGTTCGAACTACATTTACTTGGTATAAAGTTGGGAATGTATACTCCCGTTTGAACACAGCCCGTTGCCTATCACCCTAGTCAACAACTCGATGTGCGGGACATGTTTTTTCTGAAAGTCAAGGGACTTCTGCTTCAAAAAACATGACTGATGGTGACCCTGAAAACCTGCGGTTCGGACAATCAGTATACTCAATCATTCCTCTTGGAATGAACTACTGGAGTCTTACTTCAGAATCAATGTTCCGTTGTTCTGGGTTTTGGGTGGGAACAGATCGTATTGTCCTCTTTAGTTGCGTAGTCAGTTGTCTGCTCGTGATAGGGGATTGTGGTTACTTTGTGCCACTTCGGCGGATGGGCCGTATGCCTTGTCAAGGTATATGTCAATCGCGCTTCAAAGCTGTCTTATCTAATGATGCGAGTTCATTCAACGCGTATTCTGGCAAGCACAGAAACAATTGAATGCAAGGTGCTATGTTTCATCTAGATCTAGATAAATAAACATATTAATGACTGTAACAGCTGAAGCTTGATGTGTAGAAACCCATGTTATTAAACCTGAACGGCGTGTCATCGAATTTTGGCTTCCTATCCTCTGATAACATAAATTACTGTGATGTTCTCCAAAGTTAATTCTCATTGTCGGACTAGCTCGCTGCACACCATTATGAACATACTGTGGGTGGTAGGCCTTTTCGCGTGACAGCCTTCTGTATGAGTGAGCTGTTTCGTGAGGTTTTCGTTTTCCGTTGATAGGGAAGGAAATGTCAGTCCGCTAGGGTGTCCATTTTGTGGCCTGATGGTTAGCTGAATTGGGCTGATTTAATTGCAAAAGTTTCATCACAATCGTGGGAATATCACTTTGAAATGAAGGGATGTATTGTGTGGGAACCCAGCCTTTGTCTAACTGGAGTTAGCTAGACGGTTATCTTACTCCATTTTTTTCACCAATTTTTCAACAATCTATAGAAGCTCAGTTTGTAGTATTTTTAATAGTTTCTATATATGAATGCACCTTTCTTTGGTTCTGACTGTGTGTGCATTACGATATTTAACTCCTCGGTTTTGCGAGACTTCGAATTGATTTAGCCAAAGTTGGAATTCCCTAATAGTATTTGTATTAACAGTGGCTTTCCTCCTGACTTTACTCACTACGGCGGTTGTTGCGACTACATTGATTTGGTTCCTTTAACCCACCATGTTTTTGTCTAGCGCCGTTCGGATGCCGGTGTCAAGCGAGTGAAAAAACTCCCCGTTGGGCTTCGTAATGGGGATCAGGCGCGACTCTCCACTCCAAACCATCCCTATAACGATGAAGATACCCATTGTCTTTCATCCAAAGGCACTGTACAGGTTCGGTCTACACACTTTACCACTCTGATTTTGCGTACTGTACCGTTTTTTATTATTACACCGGCTATGTATTTCTCATCTCACACTCAGTTCAATCACTTGCCATGTTTCACCCTCAACTTGATTTCTTTTTCTTCATGCTGTATATTCACCACAATATTCCTTCTATACTCTGGCTCGTTGTTTCAAGCGCCGTTTTGACAGGAATAATTACATGAGGAACAAATTTTGCCTCAAACCCATGATAACCATGATGAGTAATTTTCAGGTTAACAGTACTCGCAATAGCAGAGCTTTTATTGTTTTAGTGCTTTGTCGTTGCACGGAAAACTAGGGATCCCCAGACTGGTGGTTGATCGAATCAGTAGGTGTTGCAGTTATAAGCCATGGTGTTCGCCGAATGCCTAAGTGGCCCAAGTGGTTAGAGCGCGCATTTACTGACCGTAAGGTCCGTGTTTCGAATCCGACCTCCGCCACTCGACTTCCCCTGTCTAGGATTGGGCAACCTGGCAGTATCCCAGCCCTCGTGCTTCCTTCGGGTGGCGTGGCAGCTAGGCACCGAAAGGGTGCTACAGCTGAACGTTTTCCTTCTTTTTCTTTCGCCGAATGCCCGTTCATCGTTACCTAGATGGGGGACATTTATACCCATTTACGGAACGTGGAATCAAGTGGTGTTTGTACACTAATACTTGGGACAGGACATAACCGTTCACTCTTCGGAGTCAACCAGATTTAGTCTACTTATGCGTCTGCAAATCTGGATTACAGGCTCCCTTCTAGTTCGTTTTACTACGGCCTCATTTCCCGTATAATGTTAAACAATCGACACCAAATATCCTATATATAGAGCACTAACCACTGGAGTTGAGGTCTATTTACTTGCGAATTTATGCACTCCTGCAGAAGAGATGCTGAAACTTGCTAATGAAACAAAACGAAGACATTTTTGGCATTGCTCAGGATGATGTTAAAACCCAATGAGGGTGTGCAACACGAGGCGATGCGATTGTTTTCCGTCCTGAACTGGGTATATTATCCTTAGGTTCCATGAAATTGTGCATCGGTCTTTGAGAAATAGCGGTAGCTCGAGTGTGTTCGCCGGTTGTTGATCTGTTCGCTGAGCTTGGCGCATGTTTCATCACCAAACGAGCGAATATCATCAGTTCACGCATTGATGTAAGTTAATTACCAAGCTTGGCAAGCAAATCAAAAGCCGCCTGTCACCAACCAATAGACTTAGAACCAACCAGGCAACAGACCATCTGTTCTCGATTTTCGCCCCAATAGCTATCGGTTCTTGTTTATGAGGAAGCAGTCACTCTACGTGTCTTTCATGAACGTTGTCAGCTAAGATCGCAATAACTTGACAAGATACCCTAGGGGACTTGCTAGCAAATTTGTCAGTGGATCTGAGGCGCCGTGCCACTCTTCGACGTTCCTGGTATCGGGTTGGCGTGTTCGTGTAGCATAATCGTCGATTACACATACATGCATACGGGCTTTTAACCGTCAGGAAAATCAGATCGGAACTTGTTCGGTCATCGTTGCAAGATAAACTCAATTCTTACTTGTACAATTGGGTAGATAAGCGTGGTAAGCGTAAACTACTGGTGATACCGACTTCGTAAAGGGGATTGAAACCGAACATCTGATACCGTAAGACCATTCTCACCGGGAGCTAGATTAGCCATGGAAATTGCATCGGAATTCGCGTGCCATGTGCATCTTCGTTCATCGGAGATTTCAAATCTCATGGGCATCACCTATTGAGAAGGGACTAATCAGGGCGTATCCGCTGTGCTTGTTTTGTGGTTTTTCCAAACATGCATTTATCCTGTCTGCACCGTAACAAAAGTCGTTTAGATTACCGTTAGCTGCACAATAAGTGCAGTAATTTGCGGTTGTAGGTGATTCTATCTTTGGTTACTCAGGTGGCCGTTTGTTCAATGAGCTCTGTAGTTGAACAGTGAACTCACCGACGTTCTTGACATCACCGCTGGGTTATTTTGTAGCGAAACGTGCGGTACGCATCTGGTCCGGGCATAGCATTCCGGGCGAATCCGTTCTTTAGAGATGCTAGGTGCGGTTGTCTTCATTGGAAAACTACGTGTTGATAGGTAAGGTGTTGCCTGATAAATGACCAATGGTAAGGAGTGCCTGCTGTACATAACGTACATAACGCTGTATGTCGTGTACGCAGAGATTTTGCGGTCGCGTACTGTGGCCTCTAAACGCAGTGTCTTCTAATAACAAGTCAAAACTCGCCACCAGTTTAGAGTCAAATAGTAGATAGGGGCTGGAGGTGACCATGATTTCAGGGACTACGAACATCGGTTACTGTCTGTACTTGCGAGAATACGTCGAAGGAAAACAGGCGAATCACAGTCAGTAGCTACCTTTCTCACCACTACTGCAATATGGCCTGGTCGTCTTGAATCCACTGACGATCCTAGTTGAATCCACTTGCCTCGGCAGGCATTTCTGCGTTTTGGTTATCTCGGAAAATTGACGGATATGATGCTTATTCAGGTCACGCCTCTTCTATCGGTAAATGTGACCCAGTGAAAGGAATTGTTCATTATACTGAATTGCTCGATGCGCTGCTGCGTCAGTCTGTGGTTGAACGCGACCAACCTTCGTACAAGTATACCTACAAGCATGCCTACATACTTTTTGTAACTTATAGCGAATTTGTGATCACACTTGATTGGGATTGCCGAGAGAATTCTGGAATATCTCAGTGACAAGCTTGTTACCATTTATCTTGGGTATCCCACGTTGTCATTCTTGCTTGTGAGCTCTGCACCTGCATTTTCCTTTTCGTCACAGCACCCCCAGTTTGTCGATGACACCGGATCTTTGGCAACCACTGACACGGAAACCGATGAAGATGATAACCTTCCTCTATCCTCTTTTATCGTGTCTAAACCGTTTCTTACCAAGACTGGAGACAGATCACCATCGCCCCTTCGGCAGGCAACTCCTACCCATTCTGAGCAAGCAACCCCACCATCTTCACCTTCCCGGAAGCCAACACGTTTGGTGTCACCTTCCCCAGTTTTATGCTATTGTTCAAAGCCCGCAGTTATTGACGATCCGCGATGGGATGGAGAGTTCTGTTCTCCCGAATGTTTGATCTCTATGTGTCATCAAGCATTTTATGCGAGTTTTCGCCCTCACCCAATGCGTGATAAAAGTGCCATTGTTTAATGGCCACTCAGTTCTTTATTGTGCTTACCTGCGATAATTCTTGTACATTGTTATCGTGTTTTGAGCAGAGTAGTGAGGAAAAATGGGTTTCCACATCCTCCCACTGAGTGCTACGATGATTTGAAATAATGAGCGGCCCCTCGGTCGCGTTCCTAAAAGCATAGCTTAAAGAATGACGTTCACTTTCCATGTTTTGGACGCCGGTATGTCTTTTAACTGATCGAAGAATTATGAAAACGACCAGCATTTTTTAATTTCGGCTTCTTATTTGGTGTTTTCAGCTCTTACTCTTCACGGATCATCTTCAATGAACTTGATATACTACTTTCTAGCGCCCCAACTGAGCTACCGTACGTGGTGTCGCTGCAGTGCCCAAATAGTAAAGTGGTGATCACACTGTTTCTCAGTGTTGATGCGGGGATTAAAATATGCAGTGAATATTTGAAATTCATGTACTGTTTTAGTTCGTTTCGATCAATATTACAGTTTGCTACATGGAAACAACACCACTCCAGCAAATTGTCCCATTTCGCACCGCTAATCTCAGATCTTCGCATTTGCTGAACAGAATTTACTGGTTTGGTGGATGGAGACGGCTACTAGTGCACGCCATTTGCTACATCACTTGTCATGTTTTCCTACGTTAATCTGCGGTGATTTTAGCTTGCCTCCAGAGGGTCGAATGTTGTAAGACACTTGGTACAAGTGAAACGTTAATTTCTTTTGTTGAAATTTCCCAGCATATTGATGCGCTGTTTCGTTTCCCATGTTTAGTGAAACGCTTGTATGATTGGTTCTTGGTTCGGGCTTGTAGATTTGATTCTGCACGAATCGAGGGCTACTCGACTGATCCCCAGCTGACTGCCTTGTAAGAACGAGTGCATTGAGTTTCGTCGCCTTGTTTTCCTCCTATACGCTTTAGTTTGTGTAATACAGCTTTACCGTAGGTACTAGTACTGGTCTATTGGTTAGGGCTAATTGGTTCTTAATGATTGACATTTCAGCTGTTTCTTGATAACGTGTTTTGTTTTGAAGCTCAATAATGTAGAATTAACGGAGTAATAAACAATAAGCCCCAATATTTTGAGGTGCTTTTTGTTAACCTTGTTCCATTCTGATCTGGAGAGTCAGTGTAAGATCTAAGATGATGTACAATCCAGCAGAACCACAACCGCATCATGCAAGTTTTCCTCGGTCAGCAACATGCTTTATCACAATATCAAACATCCTTTCCACAGAGAGTTCATTTGTCAACAAAATTCCAAAGCAACCCTTCACCGTTTGGTGATTTCTCCACAGGGAACCTCTCACTTCGGATCATCATGGCCATTGACACAACACACGTACTAACCTTGGTGGATAGGTTCCTCCAGGAAGCGCTGTGACTGGGTCATACTGAGCTGTTAAACACACTCCAAACAAGGGTCCATACAGGCGTTGTACCTTGTTTTACTCCACCGCCGGCTTTTCAAGACAGAATACGAAACTTTCAAGTTTTTTTCATTATCATGTTTTCCCATTAGCACACAGTGGGCTCTACCCCCCCCCCCACGAAGAATGGCATCTTGACCATAGATGTCACTGTTCCACTTATTGAGCAAATAACTCAGCCACTTCGGCTATGTACCGAACTTCACTGAATTCTCAGCGAGCAGTTTGAATGAAGCAAGTGCAGGCTTTGCGTTGAGAGGTTCTAATGAAAGTATCCTGCCTCCGATCAAGGGAGAACTATTTTACAGAGGGCTTTATTCCGGTGCTTGAGAAAGCAGCACAAATGGTCTTGTTTGATGGAATCATCGAACTGCCTGTTTGTGTTGTACTACAGTGGCGCTGTTACGAGTTCAATACCGCAAAATTCACTCATTGTCTTACGGAACCAACTTTCTCTACTACCAATCCAGCCCCATGAATTCAGCCACGGGATCGATTTCTGTCACCAGTCCGCACATCTGAAGGTACTCACATAATCACAAATTATGTACCTTACTTATGAGCACAGCTTATCAAAATGAAATTCATTAGAGGAAATACCGCAATTACTGGTCTGTAAATCCTTAGAAGTTCAAAATGTACAATTCTTTCAAAACCTTTGAACCATGCACGTGTTTGTCAGATCTCTCTTAACGAGTGAAATAAGGTAGTTATTGATAAGTGGATGCCGAATGCAATAGAAATAGAAAAATTACCGAACCCACCTGAATGAATTAGCGTGGAATACAAAAATATGGAAAACACCTGAGGTAACTTTATGGCATCATCGCGTATCACCGTGCATTGTGGTGGTGGTGGGGTAGTATTGTGCTATTTATTTCGCCTCAAAATATTTATAAGCTAACTTGGTACACTTCTGACGACTAAAATGAGTGTTCAACAACTGTTATATGGTGGGTTTACAAGTTTCGAACTCGAGCCTTCCTAAATCTTTAAGGAAAAGCAGGCTAACGCTGCATCCAACATTTTTCTACCTTAACAGGAATGATAAGCTCTCCACAAAACACCTTCAGAAGACGCGGAAATTAACTTCGATGGTCTAATTTGAAAACAAGCTAATCAGGATGCATAAGTTATTTTGTACCAGAAAGGCATGCACATAATTTGCCACTGAATTGCTTCCTGCACTTTCGTTTCCGACAATTTATTCCTTACTTTTCTTGCTATTGCTATGATTCCCTTGCACGACCCTAGAAAAAAAACTCACTTTTCCCCTATAGAAATCCTTTAAATAAGTACATAATGCCTCTTCTAAGCAAGTAGAATCTTATTTTCACTTGTGGCTTTCGTCGGAAGTAGGACTTTGCATTGCATTAGCTTAAAAGTTTAGCCTATGGAGAACTCATTCGCAGGAATATATCTACACTATTTACAGGATGACAATAAATACTCAGGAATTTTTTACTAAAGCAGCTCCCCGCTTTTAATTTTTCAGCCGATCTGATCATTCTATTTAAAGGAATTTTTAATCCAGCCAATGATTCCTTGAATCTGCATGCATTTCAATGGAAGCTCGTCGGAGGATGCGCTGATATACTTTCAGCAGAGTGGTCGGAGTAAATGATTTCAAATCCTCGTTGGGCATCGTACCGATAGTTTGGTCGACGAATCCTCTGCTAACCAGCATTGTCAGTGTCTAACTGAATCGCCCAGCTCCTTTGCCAGATTTCATGACAATCTAAGTCATGAAACCGCAGGTCGCGGTAATCATCATTGAGCCCCTGTGCAAATTTTTAGAATTCAGGAGCTGACTGAGCATAGACTGCATTGCAAACTTGGGTTGAAATGTAATAAATGGGGATTTAACGTAAATTAACACAAACCATCTTCAACACCTCTTATTATTACTTGCCTGGAAATCAAGGGGTAAAGAGATTTGGCAAAAAACGAAGGTCCCGAACCTTGTTTGGTTCCTGGCCTTCATTTTGTAGCTGGGAGCCTTTGAATACGTTAACTATATCCCAGTGTTAGTGAACATCTGAGGGGACACTTCAGTTGTAACTTCTCCATTCCGCTTTACGCGAGACACCAACGTTGTTTTAGTGTCGGAGATGTCTGGAGATTTTTACAGCAAATGTGTAAATATGCAACAAAGACCCTTATTGTTGTTGAGATCACAGCTGGCACGTGACGTACGCCAGCATTTGATGGAGCGAGTGATGTGAAACGCCGTATCAGCCAAAATAAATAATACACTTGCCATCTTGTGGCAGCCAGTATCAAAGAAAGTTATTCCGTTGTTTGGAAATACGAGTGAACGTCTTCCTAAGGTTAGGTGTTACTAGCCTTGCTCGTTCTGGGTACACAACAGCCCGCACTACAAAAGTATTTGACCAAAGCGAACATTGCTTGGTGTCAGTGTATCAGTCAAACACCTCCAGAAAATGCGTGGAGCAGCGGAAAACCGAAACATGATTCTGTTTTTTATTCTGTTTTCCGATAACCTGTATACTCAGGACACTAAGTCGTTCCAAAATGCCACTTCTCCATTCAGTTTTTTGTTAGGTTTCATACTGAACCAGGGGCCCGTCCGACCTTTGAAGGCATGTATCAATGTCAGCACGCCTATCAAACATCTAAAAGGCACACAAATCACAAAATACTCCTTTATTGAAAGAGTAACAATTGTTCAGCTACGTTACCCCTCTGGCGCTCAGCTGCCACGCCAGTTGAAGAAACCATCAAGGTTGAGCGATTGCGCGGTTTCTCAAGCCTAGACAGAAGCAGTCGAACCACAGCAGCCACAAACCGGGGAGATATCGCCACCAAAAAAGCTTGGTTGCTGGAGAGAAGTTGGAAAATTGAACGCTAAGCTTGAGGGGCGGACTGTCAAACCGAACAACTGATATTCCGGCACGTCGCTTATCAGAACTCCTTGGCTGGACGTCATGGTGGAGTGTTTTTATAACTTGCTGCCTCCAACTGCGAATATTGGGAAATTTGTCCTAACTGTATCATGCACTACACAGTTGCTTTCATAAGTTTCGTCTATATACATGGACATCGTCTTATAGATAGACGGTTGATTCCTTGAATTTTTCCAGTAAAATAGATGGGTACCTACTCCCCTTGTGGAACGTATACACACTAAAACCCACCTATTTCTTCATAGTCAAGCGTTTCATGAGAAACATGTATCTTTGAGCTCGATTTGTGCAATCATAATTTTGCCGGATTTGTGAAAGGAAAGTTAGGGAGACAAGGTTTTTGACATGTTATGAGGTTCCATGAGGTGTGCTAAGCGCTAATTTATTCCGTTACTCGTTGACGTCATACGTACAAAGATGCGCGGGAAAATAAAGCATTGGTTTTGCTCATGTGTAGTTTCCATAAACACCTGAGGCCACTTCGAAAGTGATTTAGTACTCCGACATCTGTTTGCAGCTTGGTGCCTATGCGTAAGATCACTTATCGTTAAGGTAAAAGGGGCCTCTCTGAAGGAATGAGGAAAAATTATAAATAAAATAGCTTGTACACTTGCCCTGTCATATTTATGCAATATTCATCCATCTGGGTTTAAGCAGCTGAATAATGTGTGCTGTAATAACCTTGTAGCATTTTATTGAAAGCTACATTTAGTTGCAGTGAAACTGGATTGTGTGTGTCAATCAGGAAAGTCATTAAGCTGGACAACAAAACAGTATGGCTGGTGTGAAGTGCAGATGGAAGTCACTTTCAGCGACGCAAACTCCACGTGGATTTGATAAAAGGTCTCCAGCAGTTCATTAACATTTTCACTCATTGGGCTCACCAGCTAGGCGTAGTCCCCGAGTTTGCATCAATT